ATAGGTTTCAGTCTATAATAACGATTTATGTTAATAGTTTATTGGCTTCGTTATTATTTTATTTTTAAATGGGTGATTTTGTTAAAAAGTTTTGTCAAGATTGTTTTATGTAAATCATAATGATAACCAGGTACATAGCTTATTACCGATACTAAAATATAGCAACAGGTAAACGGAAAGACTTTGAACATTTCATTTGAAAAGAAATCTATTATTACAACCGGTAAGTAGATATAGGTATCATAGGTACCAACTGCCAACACTCATAAATCAATATGAATATAAGCATTTATTATTTTTATTATAAATTGCATTTTATGTTCATTTAATGCATATTATTTAAGTGCTTACATAGAGGTAAACACTAACACCCATATTCTTAGTCGTTTCCTCGAGATTTTTTCCACTCGACTCAACCTCATTCGAGGAAATTCGTATGCTTAGACAACAAAAATATCCTTCACTTGAGATATTCCTCACTCGAGTGGAGGTCGAGTCGAGGAATAAACTGTCAACCTCAAGGTAGCTCTCGACGTACCTTAAGGCTTACTCGAGTGGTGTTTAAGGTATTTTCAAGTTGTTTTTATCGAGAATTATGTCTGATTATGAGATTATTGACGAATTGGTGGATTTTATTTTTTACGTATACGATGATGAACCATATAATCCGGCGCGACGGTATTTACGTGACGCCGCAAATCCTTTTGAGGTTTACGACAATGATTCGTTTCAAAGAAGATTTCGGTTTAGAGAGATACAGTCATACAAGTAATATTTCCTCTGCTAAGCATTACACTAAATTTTAATAACAGAGGACTACCTGTACCGCCTTTAATACAATTACTGGTGGCTTTGAAGTTTTACGTGACAGGATTATTTCAAGTAGGTATTTACCTATGTTTGTTGTGTGATATTTTACTTTACACATATAATATGTCTATGCTTTTATGCTTTATACCTTTGTTTGTACTCTCAGTGGCGGAATTCTCAAGTTTGTTCAAGATACCAACTAGAATATCATATTCGAGGTTATTTGGAGGAACTCCTTAAGGAGCCCTCGAATGAGTTAGAGTCGAGGAACGTTTGAGGACGCGTCTAAGAATATGGGTGTAAATCTATTTAGAATATATAAAGTGTACATCTTTTACGATTAAATATAATAATTATAACCTCAAAATCTAATACATTCTGTAGTAGGCCACGGTTCCTCAAGTTGTCCGTATCTCAACAAATGCCTAATTAGAGTTTATGAATGATTCCGAACACAACTAGCATTTTCTCATTGCTGTGCGTTCTAGGGCATTCAATGTATGGGGAACGAGCAATGTCCTTTGACATTGACATTTCACACTTGCAAACTATTCGGAATCGACGAAACGAGAACTAAAAATCAGTACACATTTGAAGTTCCTATATCTAGATCGAATTCAACTCTTCGTCTTCGATAAAGCTTCGTGCTTAGTACCCTGATCGGCTGTCCGTTTGACACTATACAATAATAACCACACAAATATCACGGTAATATTATCTATACAGTATTGTGACTCCGCCCTGTCCTTGAAAATAAATGCCTACACCGAGCGCTGTGTTGGCACGCGGTAGGGCCGCCCGCCTACAGTATTTTATGTAGTTTTGTTTTTAACGCGAGTGTAGGTAGATTACTCGTTTGTCTCTTTTTCATCCTAACCACTTATTTATATATTATTCCAGATATTTTGCCCGATGGAAAAACCGAAATACCTAAATATTAGAAACAAATAACGTACTAGTAGATAGGTATATAAAAAATATTCTATAAAGGTAAGACACCTTTCCAATATTTCAGGTAATTTAAAAAATGATATCTCTGGGTGTGTTATTGAAGAGTTCAAGCAACCAAAAACAGCAATTGTGCTGTTGTACGATACTGATCGTCGTTTGTTCTTTTCCATACTAAATTATGTAGGTATCTACTTAATTAAATCAAATATTTACAATACAAAACGCATGTTTAAGCACGGCTAACTGCATAAAAAACAATTCAGACCGTTCGGTCGTCGTTGCGGCGCGGCGGCGCATTCGCGACTGGGTGCACGCCGAGAGCCCATCGAACTCGAGTGGCGTAGGTATGACTCGCTTTCCGACCGTTTGTATGAAGATAGAATACTGTATGATATTATTACCGTGCTAATATTATAAAGGCGAAAGTTTGTGAGTGTGTATGTTTGTTACTTCTTCACGTCTAAACGGCTGGTGCGATTTTAATAAATCTTGGTATGGAGTAAGCACATAGGCTACATTTACTGCGGGAAAATATCCCTAATAAACCGCAGGTAACACGACATCTATATGCCCCACAGATATACAACGGATGTAGGAAATCATTACTCACCATCCTCAAGAGATGGCGTTACCTGCACTGCGATCAATATTAGTACGGAAGCCTACATCGCGCAAATGAAATTCGGAGGCTAACTCTTTATATATACGATGCCCGACCAACATAAGTCGGGCCGCGGCCCCAGAGCTAACATCACCCAGCTCGGAGGAAGATCTTCCCCTTTGGCATTCCTACAATGAGTACTGAAAGGACGATGGCGAAATATTTGTTGAACTAAATCTTTAGCGTCTATAGATGTCATTATCAGAAATGTAATTAAAATAATCTCAAAAGATTTATTAAACAATTGAGAAGGGTTGTTCTAAGTCTGGAATTAAAAACTTCATTCATTAAAAAACATTCATAAAAATAATAAAATTCTATACGAAAATATGAATGCGATAACCAATTTACCTGAATTAGGTTACATTACATTTGTACCTGTATTTCAGGCAGGTTTACCAAGATCAAAATGTTACACATTATTTTCAAGAGATTTAAGCGGACATTCGGCGCCCCTGTCCAGATGTCGGCGGACGCATCAGTAATACTGGAGTTACAAATGAGAGTGGCCGCGTGCTTTCAATTATTTTTTGATCGTTTGTTACTTCTCGTTAGCTAATATAATATATATAAATATATATACCAGAACAATGAACCTAAAACTAAAAACCTTAAAAAATATAATATAATAGCTAAAAGTCCCTTTAGGCAAGGTTCCGAAGATACTGGCAGCGTTCCCCCTTTGAATAGCTAGACTAATTCTTTGTCCGAAGTAGCTGCCAGCTCTTCGGTCTCCTGTGATGTCGACTAACTTTTTTGATATTTCCTTAAAAAGCCTTATAGAGCTACGACCCCACGGACCAAGGGTCTCGACACCGAATGGGACAAAATCATATTCGGAGCCTAGACCTCTGTTTTTGCATGCTTTAGTTTTTTCAGCCGCTTCACAAGCCGCACCGGCTCTATTGTTGGATCCATGTAGATGGGAAGGAGCCATATAAATAAATAAATAAATAAATATTTCCAGCTCACACCAATTAGCCCAGCCCCAAAGTACTTAAGCACTGTAAGGCTTGTGTTATGGGATACTAGGGTAACGGATAGAATACATATACTGTATATATATAATTATATTTATATAGAAGCCTATAAATGTCCCCACTGCTGGGGCACAGGCCTTCCCTATGGATGGAATAGGGAGATTGGGCCATGACCTACCACGCGGGCCCAATGCGGATTGGCGGGTGCTAACGACTGCAGATGCAGCCGGAACCAACGGCTTAACATGCCTTCCGAAGCACGGAGGTTCTCGAGATAGTAAATTTTTGGTCACCCATCCAATGATCGACCACTGCGAAAGTTGCTTAACTTCAACGATCGCAGCCGAACGCGCTAACCACTTGCGCCATCGAGCTCCGCAGGAATACAGACTGACCTTGAGGATGACACCTGAAAGCTTTGATGAACTGTTATTTTCGCTTTCACTTCTTCAACAGTCAACCTTTCCATATTCATTGAAGAGCAAATATTTAGTAGGGTGGTTATTCGCATCTGTTTATTTCTATAATTCTGCGAACGAATGTCCCATAAACACTCCACATTTCTATATAAATGTATAAACCGTAATGTGTTATCATCACCCCACTTTCGAGACATTTTCTTGTCAAAAGTTTTTTTTTCCTCAATGGCTTCGCACGGCTTGTGCATTTAGCCAATGTCGTGTTAAAAATGTTTACAAATTATAGCACTCGTGGTCAGTAGTATTATATCAAGTCAAAGTAAGTGGCAGTCAAGTCAATCCCCCTTTCCCTATGTTTCAGTAAATGTGTGGGGATTTACTGGAACCTCCCCGTGGACTTCTTGAGGGAACGTCGAAAGACACTTTCCGCTATTTTGTTTCACTTGCCAACGCTTGTGCATGTTCCCGAACACTTAATGGTTAATAATCCACCATTATTAGACACTATCATCCGCCACAACACAATTTTTAACAAGAAAAACAAAACTGCTAAAGGGACGCTTTCCGATCCCGCCAAAAAGTACTGTCGAAAGTTTCAGCAAATCAATAACCCGTGGTGACATTTAGCGGCGACGCCAGCGAATGGCGTGAACGTGTTTGAAAAGATCCAGTGACGCTGGTAAGGGGCGCGGGCGATGCGGGGTGTGGGCACTGGCACGAAAAATAGGCCTTCGTTCTACTCCATGCCAGCGCTGGCGCCAGTGCGGGACTGGCGCCAAAAAATGTTTACATGGATCCAATGCTGACATGCCTGCGGGACTGGCGCTAGCTACTGTATCAATGTAAATCTGGCTTGATTCACACGTCGGTTTACATAATCGAAGTTTTCATACGGAAACCACACTTTTTTGAAAATACTCTATAGCCTATGTTCATCAGGGATTATGTAGGATTCTAAATGTGAAAGAATTTTTCAAATCGGTCCTGTAGTATCGGAGCCTATTCAATATAAACAAACAAATGTTTCTTCTTAAAAATATTAGTATACAGTATATATATAAATAAATATTTTCAACACACACACACACCAATTAGCCTAGCCCCAAAGTAAGCACTATAAGGCTTGTGATATGGAATACCAGGGTATATTTTTATAGAAATACATATTAAACATGACTGGAGTACAAATGCTCGTATTCATCACTCAAACATCTGCCCCCACCGGGATTCGAACCCGGGACCTCTCGAGTCGGCGACACCATGAAACTCGGCGTACAAACCACTCGGCCACGGAGGTCGCCAAGTATAGATTTATCAAATAAATAAAAAACTCTTTCCGACAATCTTCTTTCTGCTCATGGACTAACAGAAAAATGTCGTCATGGAGAATTAGAAAAATAAAATGACACGACACATCTATTTGACATTTAAGAAACAAAAGTTATTCGTACAGAATTAGTTATCTGAATCTGACAACTTGAGAACATTGTGGAAATATTTATATTGTGTTTGTTATGTTTAAGTTTATTTTATGGTATCATGCTTTGTTTGGAATTCCCGATACATAACTATAAATGTTATTTTTCAATTTTTTATGGTGAGTACTGGTGTCTTTATCTTAGTATTTCGTTACCGGAGGCCTACTCTAATTCAAGGAAAAACGAAATTTCGATCGATACTACGCACGTTTCTTACTATGTTTCTGGTTCGTCTTTAATTATAACAATACTAGCAAACCAGTGAACCAAATGTTCACCAAAACCTGATTTCTCGAAAACCGGAAGTGCTACGCTACGTTACTCAAATCCGGTTTGTAGTCTTATCAGACTATTCTTAACTTGTAATTTAAATATTCTCTTTATCTATCTCTTACGGTTTGGCCGCTGAAACAGCACCACAGACGGACGGACTTGTCTAATAGATAAGAGATCCGTCGTCGGAATAAAGATTGAGATGTAGTTTTTCCAAGCCTACTCAAAGAAAACTTCAATTTGATACGTTTATCGTTTCAAATTAAGTACAAATAATCTTAAATTGACGAAATTAAATTTTGTTTGAACTTCGTTATCGAAAGTTTGTTTCGATGAGAAAGAGTAGACCCCCAGGTGTTGGCAGATTTTGATATCAATTTAGAACTTTGATTTTATACACGCCCACAATAAATCACGCAAAGAAAACGGCTCATGTTACGCTCAAAACTTGGGTAAGTCATTGACTACTCAATGACTACCATTGTATATGGATAAAATGTATTTTACGAAATGAAATGAAATTTATTTGCATTAATTGTGGTTACAATGATGTTTCTAAATGATTAGGTCAGATCGCACAATTAGCCGTTTCCAGCATGCAAAAATTAATTGAAATATCTTTATATATATAATTCTTCTAAATGTGTATGTCACTGAACTTCTCTTAAAGGACTGGACCGATTTTGATGAAATTTTTTGTGTGTGTTCGAGGGGATCTGAGAATGGTTTAGATTCACAATTTTGTCCGCTGGACAATGTTTTTTTAATTAATTTTTTTATGGCGGTACGAAGTTCGCTGGGTCAGCTAGTAGATTTATAATAATGTTATGACTTTTTTGTACTTAAAACTCTTAGTCTATGTAAAATACTTATTTTAAACGAACAACATATATGTGTGCGTGACTTTGATGTACAGATTGTTTTAAATCAGTCAATGGCACCAATTCTGGCGTGATTCTCTAAATTTAAAACTGAATTTAACATCAGTCTCTCCTTTTCATTCTGTATAGAGAATGACAAGGATATACTGCTGTTTCAAATTTAAGTTTAGGTTTAGAGAATAATGATAAATAATAATTTCCAACACTCACACCAATTAGCCTAGCCCCAAAGTAAGCACTGTAAGGCTTGTGTTATGGGATGCTAGGGTAACGGATAGAATACATATACTGTACATATATAAGTATATTTATATAGAAATACATATTAAACATCCATGACTGGAGTACAAATTGCTCGTATTCATCACACAAACATCAGCTCCCACCGGAATTCGAACTCGGGACCTCTCGAGTCGGCGACACCATGAAACCTGGCGTGCAAACCACTTGGCCACTCGGCCACTCGGCCATGTTAGAATCGACACCAATGTGTGCGTTTGTAGCGACGGGCGTGTCTACATACATGTACGTAGTAGATTTTTTGTCGGCGCTTCTGAACAGTTAATGCGGTATCTAGGCGTGTATCCATATAATATAAACAAAGATTTAGACAAATAAACCGTGATTTTTGTGTTTACTCGAAGATTTAAAGAAACAATAGCACTATCTTTTGACGCTAGTGAATCTGTTTTGAGATATACTGTTCTTTCTGGGCCCAAGAGTAGAAACTTAAGAGCCCTTTCACATTTATTGCAAGAAATCGTAATTTTTGAGCGCCTCGTTTACCCCCTTAAAAAAGATTTTGACTGTTCCCAATAGAAGTTAAGAGTAGATTTATTCTTCTTATTGAAAGTTAATGTAGAATATTTGTAAATACTATTTTCCTTTTTTTGTACTGATCGTTCTACCGCAGCTAGTTTAAGGAAAAAACGATAATGCACAAATTCAAACGCCTTAATCTCTCAATAATGTTCTATAAATTAGATCAAATTAATTACTATGATATCAGAAATATGTTTTTGTTGTAACCTAATGTATTAGAATTTTGATTTTCCGTCGCATTAATTATCAAAAAAACATCTAACCTCCGTGAGTTTTCTCAAAAAATTATGCAGGTTTACCTCATAATGGTATTTTGATATTGATTGAATTAAATAAAATTATTATCAAAAACTTTCAAAAAAACTAATCTACCATTATTGAACTACTGAAACATGTATACATTTTTATAATTACTTCATTAATAATTATTTTATAAGACTCGAAACATCACCCGTAAAATCTATCTAGTGCAAATCTACCTACGCGCCGATCAGTACGGCAGCGGCGCAATTTTGTAAAAGGGCTCTTAACAATATTGTTGGTAGCAACATCACATATTTTTTTAAATAAAAAGGTTTCTGTTAACCACATTATTCAACTAAGTCTCCACATTTATGCACTGGTAATTTTTTAGAAAGAACGTATTGATAATTTTTGTTTTTCTTAGTACCTAAATTACATCGTTTTGAAAATTTACATTGATTGATTTTTTTATAGTTTTTTTAGGAGTCTATACGACAAAAGTTGAAATTATCATGCAGTCATCGAAAATAAAAAATTACCACAACAATCCCGTAGAGAAACGTATTATTAGGTTGTTTATGTAAACTTGAATACTGGTTCTGTATTCAGTTAGTCTTTGTCAACCCCGAAACGCTATGATCTTGGTCTGCCCTACCCCTAGAGTGTTTTTAAAGCCCGCCTGCTGTAAAAAAACCATGAGTGAGTACCTGTGGTCGTTGTTAGCAAAGGCGAAGGGCTGTTAGTCCCGAGATAATGCGGAAATGAAGTGTATAATAGATATAACTTTGGTATAAAATTCCTATAGGTACATTCTTTTCTCTCCATTCCAATCCCTGAAAATTGTTGGTGGCCGAAGACTTTTTAATGGCTGCATGGTAATCTTGACATGTAATAGGTCATGAAATAAAAAATATGGCTGTATGCGATTTGTTCCTTTTGCCTTCCCTAAAAAAAGAAAATATGAAAAAGGAAAACAATGTAATTTGTCACAATTTTACAAAAAAAAGACAAAACTACCAGTGCGCTTGTGTGTACACTTTTCATAGAGAATTTATTAACAGAGACCTTTTCGCCAAAAAATATTGGGAGTGTCAATTCTTGGGCCCAGAAAGTACAATTTTACCCAATAAATTAACTAAAAAAAAGCAGAATAAAATAAATATTTAAGGGCGGCTTTCATACAAAAAACGTTATATTTTTAGGGTTACGTACCCAAAGGGTGCGTCTGCCTGTCGGCCCGTCTGTCTGTCTGTCATCAGTCGTGAACCGTCTCATGAGCCGATAGCTAGACAGTTGAAAATTTTCACAAATGATGTATTTTTGATGATCTGTTGTTGCACAGAATAAAATAAATATTAAAGGGTAAAGGGTTTTCATACAACAAACATGATTTTTTTGCCGTTTTTAGCCTATAATGATAACAGCAAGAGTAGACTCAAATATTCACATAATACTGGGATCTATATTGACTTTAAAAATAAGTAAAAAAAAATCATTCCTGTAAATATTAATTCTCACCCTTCCCTAGTTGAACCTGATTCCTGAACCCTTCATGCGCGAGTTCGCTTGCACATGGCCGGTTTATTTTTGCTCTTTATTATAATAACGGCAACAGGCAGAAGCTTGAAACATTCAAAGACTATTTAATATGGGGGATGACGGCGTACAGTAAACGAAATTCTATTTAGACCGTCAGTTAGATGATCAAAAAATAATGGACACGTATATTTTCTTTGGGCAATCAACCAAAAAATGACAAAGTTATAGCGCGTCAAAGTTTGGGAGTAGGGGCTCTCGTGACGTCACTTTTGAGTGAATTTTCACTCAAAAGTGTACAGTCGCCATCAGATATATCTGAGCATACAAGGTGACCAAATACATCTGAACAGTTAAAATGTCATTAAGTTCTATACGGTACAAGTGACCATAAATATCTGATCATTCATTACTTCAATAATATCTGAGCAGATGCCTGTCAATAATATCTGAACATACAACTTTTCAAAAATATCTGAACACGTCAATGATTATGTATCTACGCAGATCATGCACTGGGCTTACATATTTTGTTACTGCGTGATTGAAAGAATGAACTAAAAACAAAGGCTAAATATAAGGAATAAATACGATGAGAAGGGAATAAAAATCTATCAGAAAATCATTCGTGTAGGTCACCACGAGTAGTAGAAACTCAAAATATGCCTAATTTTTTCTCTATTTATTTTTTATAATTAACGAGAAGTTATGTTTTTATTTTATTCTATAGATTAAATTCTCAATATCTCCTTAGAAATTTATTTAAAAAAAAGACAACTGCGTTTTTTAACCGCAATAGAAATAAGTAATAATTTGGAGGAAACATTTGTCCCACTATTTCCATTGCAGTGGAAAATGGAATTCTGTACTTGTCATGCTCAAACTGGGCGCCATCCTTACAAAAATTTTATTTACTGTCTGAGTGGATGTGTTTATTTGGTTTGGGTATGTATTATTTATAAAAGTGAAAGTTAATAAAAAACAATTTTGATTCTTATAAATTTTTATTGAGTTAAATCGTCTTATTTAAAAATAATATGACGAATTAAAAAAAACACAACCGCAATTTACATTTAATTCAATATAAAAATATTTATTTAGATAATGGTACGGAACCCTTCGTGCGCGAGTCCGATTCGCACTTGACTGGTTTTTAAATATGCATACTATTCAAATATACTGCTTATAGACATGTTTTCTCCTCCTAACCAATCTACAGTACAGACATGGATTATGAAATCTTGCAGATCCATGTTATTGTAAGCTGCCTTTTTATGATTTCATTTTTGACCATCATCATTTGCATGCCCTTTTCCCAATTCTATTTGTGGTCGGCGCAACATGTCTTCCGTTTCCATTCTCCT